TGAACTTGCTTGCGCGGTGGTTGGACTCCAAGAACGAGTACAGGAGAGTGTAAAGTCTCTTGAGGCCAGGACTTAGATAACATTACTTCTACAGCGTTCCACTGCTGAAAGCAAGTCTAGCTCCAATGCTAGGAGTGGAGAAATGGACTCCACCTTTTGATGGAAAGAGCTACAAAGAGTTTTGGCCACTTTTGCAATCTATAGCAGGAAGTGATTTTCAAAACGTGCTTTTCAAGTTGTCAGCCTTCCATAGAAGAGCTGCAGGAGCCAAGGGAAGGTCAAGACTCAAGTTTGGGCTGCTCCTCCCAACTTCAACCAGAGTAACTCACTTTTATCTGCAGGTTATATTGGACGTCCAAGTAACATTTCACTTGAACAAAAGCTGTCATGGTGAAAAGACATTTAAATACCAGGTAGTTAGACGTAACTGTCAGGATCTCTGCTGTATTTCTGTGCCCTCTATGACTCATAGAATTGCACTTCCTGCTTTCTGATGAAAGAGAAGTTGTGCCAAGAAGGAGGGAGAGTCTGGACTTGGCCATTCACTCATCATTCTTCCCACCTCCAATCCTATACAATCTCAGTTTGAAGAGTAGGTAGAAGACAGTAATGCATAATAGAAGAGTCTAGAGCCTGAAGCCAGACTTTCAGGGTACAGCTTCCTTAGTTGCACTATAGCCTTAAGAAAATTACTTACCTCTCCAATTTCTTCATTATTAAATGGGAATGAGAATCACCACATTTACTTCCTAAGATCTTTGTATGCATTGAATCAGATAACATAATTGGTATAAATTTACTCAATACATGTTTAATTTAAAATTTACTCAATACATGTTTACTATTGTTATTATTATTATGTAGTCTCTGAATTCCCTTAAAGTTCCAGTAGGCTATGCGTCTGTGAGATTCTGGTTGGCAGTGTTTCTTTTTACTTTGAGAACCCAGTTCCCTGTTGCTAAGTGATCTAGTTTCGGATTTTTTTTTTTTTTTTTTTTCCTAGGGAGGCATTAAACAAAACAAAACAAATCTCTGCTTACTGACCTGCTAACTAATGGTAAAATTTAGCTGTTGGGGATTTGTTCCTTTGGCCTAACAAATTACGTGTTCTTACTCATTAATACTTAGTATGACTTGGTTGATTAGATCTTTATCTTCTGTGACTATCAGGCTGAACATAGGCACGGAGAAAAGATGCACTTTGATGGAAAGTTTTGGAGAGGAGGGAGGTATAATGTATATGTGTGAGAAGTAGGGGATAGGTGGGACTGGCCACTTGAGGAAGGAAGGGGGATCAAGGAGCAAGGAGGTTGGTGCCTGGATGAAGGAAGAGACCCATTAGGTTGGTGGGAAAAGGGCCAAGAGGCACCGGGCCTGCTTTCCTGCTGTGTCTGGAGTTCAGGGTCTTTGTGTCTGGAGCTCACAGAAGGGTAATGCATTCCCCAACCTTACCTCACCCATCACGATCCTCAGATGATTCGAGCCCCCCTGCCCCAGACTGTACAGGAATATTCAAAACCACCATGGCCACCATCCAACAGGAAGGCACTCTATGGCCCCAGATGGTGGGATTTTCCCATACTCCCATGGGGCACGTAACTTTGGTTTCTCAGGGAGAAGAGTCTGTCCCACGGTGACACTGAGCAGGCTGCCCGTCAGGCTGGCCCTGCCCGATAAGATCTGTCACGATCACTCAGCTTCCGCTCAATTAGGCCTTGGTGAGACAGACTCCAGCTTGCCATGCCAGGACCTGGACTGCAGTCCTGATGGAAAAGGTAGGGCAAGACGGACACCAGACAGACTCTTTGGAGGCCACACCTAGACTGGGGGGTGCACAGAGTGGTGGTGCCCCATCTTGAGATGACGCAGGTGGCCAGGAGAACAGCTTGGACTCAGGAGTTGTGTGACTGTTAAACCCAGCAATTTTCTGGCTTTCTCAGGTAACAGGGAGAGGTGGCGCTGCCTGGAAGCCAACTGCCTGAATGGAAATATCCCACCCTTCCTCAAGCTGTGTTTCTGTACCACACATAAACTGGGAAACTGTGCTGACCTTACTGGAGGGAGCTTTTTGTTTTTCAGGAGGATTTACCTTAGAATTCTTTTATCTGGCAAATTCTCCTCCAACTTCTAGGAGCTGCGCTTTTTCCTTTCTGGGGAGTGTCCATCATTTTTGTTCAGCAAGTAACCTGTGTGCATTCTGAAAAATCTGAGAAAAAGCAGACAAGTAAGAGTTTTGTTTGGTGTGAAAAATTACTTGTAAATAATCACTTTTAAATTCTCTCTCTCTTTCTCCATGGCTTTCTGTTGAAAGCATAGCCTGTCATTTGTTTATATAATCCCCTTTTGTTGTGATTCTAGGAGTGTGGTTTTGCAGGCCTCTAGCACCTGCAAAAATGCCTATGGGATTAAGCTTCAGTTGCCTCCCTTGGTTGCTGACGGATAACTCACCCTTTGTTAACTGCCTGTCCTGCCTGTCTCATGTCTCCACATCCCTTCTTATTTCCCCTTCAGCTCCCAATAAACCACTTTCACTTAAATCCTTGTCTCGGGGCTGCTTCTCAGAGAACCCACACCAATGAAGTGATTCACTCCCTTTGGGTTTGTAACATGCCTCCCTTTGCCAGTGTTTGAATTGTATACCACTTTTCAGGAATAAGTCTCTTGTCTGACATGGGGTAACCAGAGGTCAGGCTCTGTGGATTCTCTGAGGCTGGTTTGGCTGTGGCTTCTGGCTTTGGCAATTCAACCTTTGGCCCCCATGTTTCTCATTCTTTTGCTGCCCAATTTTCTTGAGACTTCCGCCAAGGCCCACTTGTCACTGATGCGTAATCCTTGTTTTTTCTCTTGGTATTTTGTCCCGAGTTAATCCTCTCTTAACACTTCTGCGATCTCCTCTCTAGGCTTCTCTTATCAATAAATCTTAGCAGCCTCTGCCCTCAGCCTGGAAGCAGGAGGCCCTGTCCGAACTCTGAGGAAGAGTTGGGGATTCTCTTTACCCTGCTCTAAGAGCTCTCCCTTTTCTTTTAAGCCTCCCTGGGAAGAATGTTTTGTTATTGGGCTGTCTCCTGAGGTGCTACCCCATCTAAGCAGAGAGTTTAGGGCTTCTTTCTTATTCCGCCCCCCCCCCCCCACCGCAAGGCATTGCTCATAATCTTAACTTTGATCAAGGGATGGATGTTTTCCCTTCCATTTCCCTACACTTGCCATTTTGATGGTCCAAAGTCTCAGAACACTGCCAGGGTGCAAAGTAGAACGTACTAACTTACACTAGAGCTTGCTATGTCTTTTTTTTTTTTTTTTTAAGATTTTATTTCTTTATTTGTCAGAGAGAGTGAGCACAGGCAGACAGAGTAGCAGGCAGAGGCAGAGGGAGAAGCAGGCTCCCCACCAAACAAGGAGCCCAATGTGGGACTCGATCCCAGGACGCTGGGATCATGACCTGAGCCAAAGGCAGCCGCTTAACCAACTGAGCCACCCAGGCGTCCCAAGCTTGCCATGTCTTGATGCTATCTTTGTTGAAGTTTACTTATAATCTAGGGAACTTAATCCAAAGACAGAATGTAAAAAGTGGGAATTTCAGGCACTGTGGTAGGAAGTTTTGAGTGACATTCCAAATAACAACATTCGCATTTCATTAGGGCAGTGCCTTGGTCTGGGATAAAATTTATATTCCCGTCTCTCCCTCTCTCCTACCACTCCCTCCCTCCCTCCCTCCTTCTTTTGCTACCTTTTGTCAAGAAGGGTAATATGGTTGACTCTACCAGTTACTAGCTCTGTGATTTTGGACAAATTATTCTTTTTTTTAAAAAAACAAAGATGTTTTATTTATTTATTTGACAGACAGAGATCACAAGTAGGCAGAGAGGCAGGCAGAGAGAGAGGAGGAAGCAGGCTCCCTGCTAAGCAGAGAGCCCAATGCGGGACTCGATCCCAGGACCCTGAGATCATGACCTGAGCCGAAGGCAGAGGCTTAAGCCACTGAGCCACCCAGGCGCCCTGGACAAATTATTCTTGATGTCTATTTTCCCACCTGTAAAATGGAGATTATTTTGATCCTGCTTTACGGCGTTTTTGTGAGGATTAAATGAGCCCATACTTATGAAGCATTTAGGACATTACCTGACACAGAGCAGCCCTCCAAAACCTATTTGCTCTTTTTATCAATATACTCATAAAATAAGTAAAGCACCCACTTCCCAGCAAGTCCTGAGGCAACAGGGTGAGTAAGTAAGACCCAAAGAGTCTAGTGAAGAAAAAAAGTTTAGAACACATTTATTCAACTTGCCCTCAGGAAACCACAACTTTATGTTCTTCTTTTTTTTTTACTACAAATTCTTTAGAAGAATTTGGCCTGTTTTTGGAAAGAAGGTAAGCCCTTCTTCAGGAAGCTACTCATGACCGAGTGCAGGCAAGGATGTCATCTCAATGCCAGAGCAGTGGAAAGAGGGAAAGCAGGGGCAGCTTTCTGGTAACTAAGGAATTTTGACACTGGTTTTAATGGCTCCCAAGATCTACTGGGAACAAAACAGGATTAGGATGTGGATAAAAGGGAGGTGTTAGAACGGACTGGATGTCCATGAAAAGGGTTTGAGTAGGACTGGGTAGACAAGAGATGGAGCTCTGGTCCCATACTCAGTGCTCTGTGAGCCTGCTCTCCTCTCCAGCCAACTGCTCCCCTTCTCTGGAGCATGTAGCTGGTTGGTTACAAGCATGAACTCCGGAGCCTGACTGTTAAGTCACATCTCAGCTTTATCCCTTACTATGTCAGACTGTATCTTCCAAAAATGGCTGCAACCCCCACTCCCCGCCAATGCCTCAGGCTCTTCTCACAATGTGACTGGCACTTTTACTGAGAAGGGTGGTTCTACTCCCTCTCCTTGGACACAGACAGAGGCTTGTGACTGCCTTGACCAAAGTAGTAGGCAGAGGGAATGCTGTGTGACTTCTAAGGATAAATCATAAGAAGGGTCTAGGTTTCACCTGGTAATCTCTCTCTCTAGGGACACTTGCCCTTGGAACCCAGCCACCATGTTGTAAGGAGGTCGAGGCCATGTGCAGAGGCTGCATCCGGGCATTCCATCTGACAACTCTCACCAGGCTCCAGGCAGCCGCTAGCATTAATTGCCAGACACGTGTGTGAACAAGCCTTTAAATTATTCCAGGCCACGGTGTTCTACGCTTCCATCTGAGGTCCCAGACAGCATGGAGCAGAGACACCTATCCCTACCAGGCCCTGTTTGAACTCCCAACACACAGAAACTGTAAGAAATAATACATATTTATTGTTGCGTTAAACTGCTAGGTTTGGGGACAATTTGTCATGCAGCAGTAGACAGTGAACATACCATGTGACCTCCAGCAAGGTAAATGATTTTTCTATGCCTTAGTTTCCTCATTTATAAAATGAGGTTAATAACAATATCCAGTGTGCTGGTCAATCAGCTCTCCTCCCCTCCACACCCCCCTCACTAAAGCCATAATTTTTAGCATTTGCTGATTTCTGTGGGATAAATACTTCCACAGTGGTCAATTGCAAGCGATCAATGGTTTAAACACCAGATGGTGAAATTCATAAATATTTAACAATTGGCTCTCGTGAACCAGTACAAGTCACCTCCAACACATTACCAAAATATCTACCTCCTAGCAGTAAATGATTTATTATCGGTAAATAATTTAGACATAGCACAGAGTAAGTGCTACGTGCCTGCTATTAAAACTCCTGCTCTTATTTTTGTCATTATCACATATACCCCAGTTGATGCGCCATTATCTACAGCATTGTCCCACCTACAGATGGCTTCCCCAGCACTGGCTGGCCAGGCCCCTCTGACAGAACCAGGAGAGCTCTGTCCGAGCATGTGCCAGGTTAACCCTGAGTCAAAGAGGAGCCCTCGGCATAAAGTGGGTGATACAGTGGTGAGGAGCTAGTGTGCAAAGCTTTCATGCCATTACTGGTAAGGGGGCGCCTGACCTGGGCAGATGGAAGAGTCCCGACTAGGGTGGTGGTCAGTGATTCCTCATCACACACAGCACAGTACAGTTTGGTAGATGATCAGATGAGCTACACCTGGGGGGCTATGGGAGCCCACGGAGGGAGCTTCTGTCCATGCCTTAGGGGGCATTAGGAGAGGTCTCAAGAAGGTTGAATGGGGAGTTCCCATGAGAAAGAGAAAAAAGAAAGGGCCTTCCAGGTGGAAGGGCTAGCTCAGATGAAAGCCTGGTAGAAAGAAAACATCATTTCTGGGGAGATGTGCAAATCTGAGTGTGGCAAGAAGAGTAGAGGGACAAGTCCAAGGACATTCTCTGTATGTGCAAGTCTGAGTGTGGCAAGAGTGCAGTCTGACAAGTTGAAGGGCATTCTCTAGATGTGCAAGTCAGGGTGGCAAGAGAGTAGAGTGACAAGTCCAAGGGCATTCTGTGGAACTAGTGGTCTGCAGTCTTCAAAATGACACTACTATGAAAGAAAAAGAAAGGCTCAAACACAGTTTCTGATGAAAACAGACTATACAACAATGACAGCTAAATGCAATCCATGATCCCAAACCAGTCCTGAGTGGGGAGAAGCAGGAGCGCTACAACAGACTATTCAGACAATTGGTGAAATTTGAATGTGGGCTGTACGTGAAATAACAGTGTTTCATTGATATTAGATAAAATCCCATTTTCTCTTAATTGGCACTGAAGTGTTAGGAGTAATGGCACATGGTGTCTACAGTGAACCTCAAATGTTTCTGGGAAAAAATCCTGGTTAGACAGAAGAGGTGATAAAACAAAAATGGCAAAATATTAACCATGGAACCTAGGAAAACAGGGTAAAGGAGTGTCTTCTATTCTTGCAATTCTTCTGTAGGGTTAAAATGATCTCAAAATAAAAAGATTCTCTAAATGAGTGGAAAAAAAAAGTATTGGCTAAGAGTCAGGGAGGGGAAGGAGAGGTCTGGAGGTTGGGCTGCTCATTTTATTAGAAAGGGCACTGAGGCATAGACAGGCTAAATGGCTGGTTGAGGTTCAGCGAACAATTAGCACGGACTTTGTGCCCTGAGCCCTTATTTCTGAGACCCAAGTGTTGGCTCTTTCTAGTAAACTGGAGGATCCCAGAGGGGAAGTGTGTGTGTTAATATATGGCCTCTGATGTGGAGAAGACCTCAGGGGTGTAGTTTCTGCTTGCCGTACAGGAGTTATCCACGTAGCTGCTATTATTTCAGGTTATCATTAATGTGAGTTGTGACCTGAATTCCCTGTATACTGCCCTGAAATTTGCCCCATATGTTTGTAAAGGTTGATTATATCTTTGGGACCTTTTTCTAATGTGAGCAGAAGCTATAAAGTTTCAATTGTCGCAGCTTGTTGGGATCAAGTGTCTTTTCTTGTGTGCCATAAAAAGGCTCTGCCTCTGATATCTGACGTCAGACAAACACGCATGAGCAATCTATTGATTTTGGATGATGTGGAAGGCCAGCATCTCTTAGATAGGAAATTAGGAGCACATCTCTCCTTCCCTTTTTCAAAAGAGAACAACTCAGTACAGAATAATGGAATCCTGGCTAGCTATGCGCCTAGAACTAAAGAGGAGTCCTCACTCTCCCTTGCTTTTGGTGGAAGTAAAAACTGGTACAGTCACTTTGGACAACTATTTGACAGCAACTAATAAAGCCTACTGTATGCTGAATAAAGCAATTCAGTGCTTGTGCATTTATCTCAGAGAATATGAGTGCATATGTCCACCTGAACACATGCACAAAAATGGTCACAGCGTCTTTAATAATAGTAGCAAAAAACAAAAAAACAACCAAATGTTCATCAACCCTAGGACACACAAACTGGTATCTGGTACTGAGCAATCACAAGGAACGAAATGTTGAGATAACACAACAATCTCATGGCTGATAGACACAAGAGAAAACATTCTGCATCATTCTATTTATTTGAAGTTCAAAGTTAGGTGAAGTGAATTTAGGAGGATAGTCTTCAGAAGAGTGAATATTAAGGAAGGTGTTGATTGGAAAGGGAGCTGTCTAGGGTGCTGGAAATGTTGGCTAGCTTCATCTAGGTGGTGGTTACAGAACTAAGATTTGAGCACTTTGCTGCATGTAAATTATATATTATTAGAAAAATAATTGAAAAGAAAAAAAAAAGGAGTTTCTTTCTACGTTATCTTGAGAGGATACAGAAAGAGCCATCCCAATAACAATGCCTGATAGTAGTAACCTGGGGTTTGTTGTATTTTCAGGCCCCATTTGGAGATAGCCGGTCACATCTGCTTTTGCTAACATGCGCTGGGTAATAGGCACCACTCAGCCGAGGCTCAGCTGATGCTGGTGTGCCAAAACAATGGTATCAGGACTGCTACCTTCTGCAGGACAGAGGCTGAGACCACTCAAACTCCAATGTGAAAGAAACACCTGGTCATGTTCAAAGGCAAATTCTGATCCGTGTCTTACATGGGGCCTGAGAATTGGCATTTCCAGTAAGTTCCCAGGTGATGTTGATACTGTCAGACCAATTTTGAACTTCAAGGCTTCGGAGGCAGACAGACCAGCATAAGAATTTGGTTCTGCCACTTACAAGCCTTTGATCTCTGCTCAATTCCTCCATCTCTCTGAAGATCTCTTAATTTCTTGTGTACACTTGAGGAGGGGGGAAGGGAGGGATAGGTGAGACAACAATCTCCCAGAAGGGGAGTGGATTCAAAGGGGTAAGATGCAAAAAGTGTTTAGCACAGTGCCTGGCCTATAGTAAACACTGCTGACTGATAGCTCTTGTTGTATTTGTTATTGTTAGCAAAGAAGAAGATGGGGGCCACGATTTGGAGAAAGGTGAGTGAGTATGGTTTCTAAGGGCAGGAGCTAGCCAGCATTTCCCTAATAGACTGTTGAAGGAAGACATTTTTTTTTCTCACTTCTCTTCTCTCCTAATTCATCCCATAATCCTTGCCTTGGTCTCCACTATCAAGATAGATTTTCTCTTCACTCTTCTTCCCATAGCAGTCTACCCCAGATCTAGTAAAGACGGAAGAACTTAAGCCGAACTGAAGCTTGAAACCAGGCAGGTTGTCAAATTGTTGGATTGTGCCAGAAGGTGATTTTTTGAGGAAATATCCTCCCCACTTGGCTCTTCCTATAGGGGCGGGATTGGTCCCCGGGAGGTGAGGTCCACAGCCGGGTATCCATGCGTGCCCACACTCAACTACCATCTTCAGAATCTGCCCATGCTTCTTGGTGCACAGGGACCCCTCTGGAGGAAGACATATGTTCCTCAGTTTGCGGGGCTGCCAGTTGGTGTCTTTTTTAGGAATCGAACTAACTTGTTGTCAAAGAAGGAAAAAAGGAAATGCTTCATTCTGTGTTGTCTGGACAGTAACTGGACTGGACTGGGGCTGGATTTCAGGGGAGCCCTCTTCAGCTGGGAGGTGAGAGCACCATTTGATTGGAGCCTGGAGTAGACTGGAGGCAGGCGGAGCTCCAGATCACAGCACTGTTCATGGATGAAGCTGTGTTCCATGAGAGCCAGCCACTAAACTGGCACCAAAGGCTCAAAAGCAACCAACCAGAGGTACTCATAGTGGAGTGGGGAAACAAAAAAAGAAAGCATGCATAGTGCCACGAGAGAGGTGCTGAGCTAAGGGGCATACGTGGATCCCATGGGAGCACAGAGTGGGGGGAGACAGGAAAGTGGTAGCCAGTTTTCAAGATGGCTTCCCAGTGACCCTCATGGCTCAGCAAACACACCCTTGTGTAGGCCTTCTGTGTATTGAATTTGGGCTGCCCGGTGTAAGCAATAGAAGTCAGTGGAAGTGACCTGTGTGACTTCTGAGGCTTGGACATAAAAAACCTAGCTTCTGCCTTGTCCTCAGGAACACATGCTCTGGGAGAGACCAGCTATCATGTAAAAAGTCTGAGTATGCTGAAACCATGTGCTATGAGGAATCCCAACCAGCCCTGTGAAGGCCTCACAAGAAGACAGAAAGATACCCACCAAGTAGCCGTCTCAGCTAAGCAATGGGAAGGTGCATGAAGGAGCCATCTTGGGTGCTCAGCACAGCTGAACCTTCAGAGAGCCCCAGCCCTGGTCATCTGGCTACCACCGGATAAAGGACCCCAAGCGAGACCACTCGGCTGAGCTCGGGCAA